AGGGGACCTGAGTTTGACTAGTATAGAATTATACCAGGTAGCAGAGAGTAATTTCTGCTTTAATCAACTTTACAGCACAGTGATAGTACTTGGCACATCCATTGGATCCCCCAAGTTTCATACACATAGCTGACATTAATGGACCTTTTGCACTTATCAGGGATTCACATAAATTCTTCCTGACTTGCTTATGGCCAGATTTTTTTTTTTTTTTTTCAGCATAAAATTCAATCCTAACAAAACCTCTATTTGAACACAGAGAGGCTGAAGCCCAAAATCCCACCCCATGCATGTGTGCCTAAGACAGAATTAAAACCAAGGCCAAAATGGCCTATGTGCCAACAAAATCATGAGTACATCCCAGAGGGTGAGACTGCATTACAGTGAGTCAGGGACCATAAATGTGCTGCAGGTTGTGCTCATTGCGGTGTTTTGATCACCCATCAAATATCCCTACTCCTTCCATCAGTGGTGGCTTTCATGGGCCTGTCATGCACTTTTCATTTATGGGTTTTGGTGTGTATGTGCTGCAACTGGCTGCTATCATGGTCTATCTGCCACATGAAGCACATTTTGGCACATGGGTTTGAAGGAGTCCAAACTATATCAGACATGTGTACAGATTGTTGGGGTGATGTAACTAAGTGTGTATCCTGATGTTAGAGTTGGAGCCATTGTAATGCATCACTCAATCTCCTTTATATATAAGGGAAAGGGGGAAATCATCTGGCTCAAGAGCCCATTAATATGTATATTTTAATGCCGCTGGTAGGCATGGTGAAATTCTCTGGGGAGGGGCGTTAAAATTGTGGTCTTTTATATTCTTATAGATAAAATTTACTCCCCCAAAAAATCTGGCACTCATGAGGATGACTCGTTGTTTCCTTTGTTAGCGCAAAACTGCTAACGGCTACAACAAAAGTCATTAGCTGTTAGTGGTTTTAAGCTACGCTACACGTAGCGTTAGTGGGCCCACCGTTGATTCTTTCTTCCCGGATAAAAGAGGGGCTGGGGCTGTATATTGCCCTGGCGAGGATTCCTTTACAGCCCTCTCAATTGGTAACAACTTGACTCTATCAAATCACAAGAGTGAAGCCGCGGGTCTTTTGGTCGTGATCAGACTAGCCAGGATGTACGCTATGGACGGAAAGATTCAGTGAATCTTCATTTTCATTGACAACAAGGGGGTTATTTCCAGAACCAGGTGCCCGGAGGCCCCCAAGCCTGGGCAAAAGATTTTCCAGTGAATCCAAGAAGAAGCTGTGGCTTTTCCCTCATGGGTGAAAATCACCCTAGTCTGGTGCCCTGGTCATTGTGACATTGAAGGTAATGAAGAGGCAGATCGCCTGGCTAAAGACGCGGTTTCCAATGAGAACACTCCAGTTTTGCAGATTGATGGGAACTTCAAGAAGGCTGCCGCAACGGTGACAAAGGATCTAAGGCCCAAAAGGCCAGAGGTGTTCTCCCTCCCACGAGCGCATAGCTCCCTTCTGAATCAAGAGAAATCTGGTCATTGCTCCCTGAAAAGCGCTCTCTTTTGTATCCACAGGCAGACGGACCCTCTCTGCCCGTTCTGTGGCAGCAGGGAAACGGAAATCCACCTCATGAATTCCTGTGATGGCCACAGAAAACACCGAGCTGTGCTCCGCAAAGCCTTGAGGCGCAAAGTCCCCTTCAACTCAAATCACCTTCACTCAACTCTGGCCCTTCCGAAGGCGGCTGAACCGCTAATTCAGTTTCTCAAGGAAACCAACCGTTTCCCAGCAGTTTTCGGCTCGCGAATTTGTTAATTTTCCGGAAGTGTTTGGGATAATTTTGGTGCTCTATCTCTCATCTCTTATGTTTAAGATTGCCGTTTGTTTTTTGTTCCTCTCTTTTCTTTTCCTTTTTAGTGCATGTGTTTTGTCTAGTCACTGTCATTTGTTGTGGCTTGTTTTCTGTTAGATTGTGTTAGGTTAGGACTTAGATATAGTGTGCAATGCCATTGGCCAAATTACACTTGAAAAAAAAAACATCTTCCTCCAGCCAGTGCTGCATATCACAGCAAATTGGCTCATCAAAGGCAACCCACTCTGTCACCCACATTCCTGAACCCCCATTATAAAGACAGTCATATTGAATGCCCCAATCATCATTGCAAGCTGCAACATAACACAACCATGCTCATCTGACCTATCCATAAGGCTCAAACCGTGTGTCAACAATGCACTAGGTGGACCCATTTATGGGTTCATCAAATCATCATGCTCCTATGTAGCTCGATGGCAAGTATAGAAAAGTATCGAGAAGCACTAGGCAGACTCATTGATGGGTCCTCCATACTTTCCTATATCTGGAATAGAGCTATGTAAAAGTATGGAGATTTGAAGAACCCAGAAATGAGTCCACCTATTGCAAACATGGAGCTTACTCCAACGCCATAGGGTACCAGTACTACTCAACTTCATGAAGCCATTCACCCACGCAACTGAATGCACATCCCCCCATTCCTACCGGATTATATACCAAAAGGAAGAGTGATATGGAGACAAAGGAAAGGACCGATCTTCCCGTAGTATTGAGACTTCAGACAGAAGTGTTGGACACGTGCGTGGGAGGGAGTGGCGGGGGTCTTCTGAACATATCTCATTCGGGACACTCGATCCAACAGCCAGCGCGAAGTATTCAAGTCCGGAGGATTTCAAGACAGCACGTTGTTGATGATTTGACGATCTTTCACACTGAGTCAACTTTGATGACCTGATAGATGAAATGATGGTCAACTATACCTACGCCTAAGAAAGGAAATTGATATTACAACGGAAAGCGAGTTTAATTGCACAAGGTTTGTTATTCTGATTATGATGAGGAGGAGATAGCGGCAACAGCCTTGACCAATCTACGGCCGCGAATCTTGAGAAGAATCGCTGAGCGTTTTCTGATCAGTCTTCGTCTCCGTTCGACGCCTGGGCCTCGCTTGGGCCCCACGATCTTGGGCAAGCTGACCACCATGGCCGCCGCCGATTTCCCTGCTACTTTCTTCTTCTTCGGCTTCAGCTTCCCGACCATCCCTGTCCTTAGGACGCCGGAATACGCTTTCTGGAACTCCGCGGCTTCGTCCGGTCCCACCTACATAGATATATGTACAGCCATTCTTTATCATCAGATACTTTTTGTTTTTTGGTACGGCGTCATATGTCAAAAATATGCATGAGTCTGAGTGGAGAGACAAACCAAGGTGGAAAACTTGACTCCATGGCCGTCAGTAGCACGGAAGAGACACTTGAAGGTTGGCTTGATTCCGGGGGTGTCCATGAGCGCGTCCCCATCTGGTTGATATGAGACTAGAGAGGGATTTATTCATCATCAGATGGATATTTGATTCAAAGGGGGGAAGCGGACAGGAATAGAGCTGACTGACATCGTTTCTGGGTCAGAAAACATGTGTGCGGGCGATGTGGGTTCGGAGTGAAGAGGTCGGTGAGCTTCGCGAGGAACTGCGTAAAGGTTCCAGAGAGAAAGAATCAGTGCTTCTGTTTGTTCGACGAATGAAACATCGACTCACCTCGGTATTACTTAGTGACATGGTGGCGGAGGGTGGAATGAGGCACAAGTTGAACACCCGACCCGCCTCGGCTCGTAAGTCACCGGTGGCCGGTGCCGTGCCGGTGCAATATGCATATGCATCTGCGGCATCCTCAATCGATTCATTTCATTCCTTTTTGTTCATGCCGCCTTTAAGCTTCAGCGGCTCTTACTCCATGACATACGTCTTGACAAGAGTTGATAGAAGGCTGGCCGACCATTCGGAAAAGGTCATCGAACAGTGCACCAGAAGATATTGGCTTGTTCCTCTTGACCTTCTTTCCTCCCTCACAATTGGACCATTAATGCATTCCTTCCAATCACTGCCATCCACCTCTAACCGAGCAAAAATAGAACAAAAATTAAAATGAAAATACTGACCTACATGCGGAAAATATTTGTATCTCCCTGAGCCTTAAATAGGTCTTGGAGCTGGGAAAAGAGTTTTGGCCAAGATTTTTAAATTTCAAATTTTGTGACCCGGCACACATGGGTTTGGTGGTCTAGTAGTATGATTCACCCTTAGGGCTCCAGCTATAGCATGGGTGAGGTCCCGGGTTCAATTCCCGGCCAGACCCTTTTGGGTTTTCCCTTTGGCCCGGTTCCTCTGCCCAGGCCACGAGAATCCGGTCAGCCATGAATTGTTCTTTGTCTTTCTTTGGTGATGGGAGAAAGGGCTTAGTTTTTCTTGTGCTTGAAGAGTAAAAATACAAATTCTCAGCGGCGGATGTACAAGAGAAGATAGCTGCAAACAACTAGATCGAGGAAGTGAAGAGTTTCTCTTTTGTCCTTGCTGTGCATTGGAATATAAATCGACAAGAGTACATACATGTTGACACACAATTGCAGTCTTTTGAAAGGTTGGCATCACCTCGACCAGACACTTAAAGAGGTCGAGGGAAAAAAATCAGAGTTGTTGAGGGGCGGAAGATGTAAAGCATACATAGGTTCAGACAATAGAAGCGCCATCAAAGGGAAAGATTGTCACCGGTTCAATTCGTTGATTGGTTTATGTAGGATTTCAGAGCCTATGAATATCGTGCAGGCCCAGTGATTGAAATTTCTCTAGTGATCCTTCACCTTTTCTCTGACCAGAGCCTCGCATAGGTCCCATAGTTTTTTCCCAAGAATACCCTCGGGATCTTGCGCGAGTTGCGACTTTCTTGCTACCTTCGCAAACGGGCAGAGATAAGCAGACCTGCGTTTCCCAAAGAAAAAAGAAACAGGAAGAACAAAAAAAAAAAGTTAGTTAGTAGTCATGCAAAGATGTCTTTGAAGCTTGAAGACGCAGAAGTTGAGAGACGAATTGAATAAAATCGTCGCCTAACCTCAGGTCTTTGGCCTCGACCTCTGGATCTGTCGCGGCATACAATAACGTGATGGCACCATTCTCCGGTGTCAATAGGATCCAACTTTTCAACCACTACATACCACACGAGGTCATGCCATAATACACTATCAGTCTCTTGCTCGCTCATGAATAATAATAATATCATCGACATGGGGCAATATTGGTGCTGCTCACCACAACGATTTTCAAGATGGCGTAACGCTCTAATAAGCCGCCTTTATCATCAAAATGCCGCAGTGCTGATACGAATCAGCAATCGATCCATCTTTGGCTAAATCTGAGTCCACAGAATGAATCTTTTCACCTATTCCTATAGTAGTATCCACTCCACCAGGATGCTTGGAGGTGACATTAAGAATCAAGTTGTTGATGATTTAGTAAAGGGATTTTGGTATACTATTCAAACATGAAGGTCTTACAATCGAGGTACAAATAATTTTCGTATGGCTGAGCCTTTTCTGTAATTGATTCGTGAAAAGGATGTTCTGGGGAATGGAAGGATGTAACAATTAATACTGGTCGCATGCAAAACATTAGATCCTTGAGTCGAAATATTTCATGAAGGATTTGGTAAGCTTACCATCAACTTGCTCAATCCATATCTATCAAACAAGCAGTAAGAAGAGTGCTCATTCAAGTTGTTCAAGGAGGCGAAATCCGGCGTCCCCAAAACCCAAAAATGGGCGTGGCTAGACACGTTGACGATTCGGACGTGCGAGCCGGGTTCTTGGGACGTCTTCTCAAGCAGGTCGAGCAAGGGACACGTGAATGCAAAGTGACCAGTGGCATTGCAGAGTTGCAGTTCGATGCCATCTTCGCTCAACTGATATGGGGTAAGAGCCTATCAGATACACCCCGAACCGAAAAAAAAAAAATCCCAAAAGTCAGCAAATCAGAGTTACAGGGAAAGAATCGTTTGGGGTGACTTGATGGTCCTATGGTGGTGTGGTTCAGATCAAAACCAGAGGGAGACTCAGACTATTCCAGCGTTGTTAACAAGGATGTCGAGCCTGTTTTCCAACGTGAGGAACTCGTGGGCAGCCGCATGAGCGGAGTTAAGCGAGGTGATGTCCAACTTCAAGAACTGAGGATCCGAGCCTGGTACCACCGCCTTGATTTTCTCGATGGCCTCCTTGGCTCGAGTTGGGTTTCTGCAAGCCAGACTGCAGGCAGTTATTAACCATCCGGTTCGTCAGATTCCCTCCAGGTTATACGTATACTTGAAGGGTAGACTGGGAAATCCTTCATGGTCATCAACCATTCTCCGGCTTACTAGGTCTTCGCTCCGTGCCGAACGAGCTCTAGCGCAGTAGCGTAGCCTATGCCGGTATTAGCACCTGCGACGAATCCCAAGAGTCTTTGTATCAGGTCATTTCTATCTAGATTTTTACATGTGGCAAGCCCCCCTTCTGCTGAAAGAGACAAACTCCTCACCTGTTACAATGGCCACTCGCCCTAAGCGGGTAAACAAGGAGGACGAATGATCGAGGCAGCAAGATGTGAGCACGGAAGGAATGTAGGGGTCTGAAGGATCTTTCACTGACCTGTGAGATCTGGGATCTGTTCGGCGGTCCAATCAATTCTCTCAAACAGTCCAATCATCCCGACAGCTAGTACCGAATCTGATCACCTCTTCCAAGTCTGAGGTGTGTCCGATCGGATGAGAATAAGGACCACGGTGGGGATCAAACGGAAACGTGTGATATCGCTTGTGATTTATGATTAGCGGCAACACAGCAAACACAGCTCATGGCCCAACATAGGATGCGGAATCTTCGCGCTACTTTGTCTTGGCCTGCGAATACGAAGACTCTCACCGAATTGTACATGTGGGCCACCGAAGTTCGAGCCCACTTCAAATCTTCTATGGGGCACTACAAAACCACCATTGGGAACTCGTCTTCCCTCCAATGAAAACTGTCCAATCCCGCATGCGAACCACCACCTTGACTTCTTCCAACGGACTTGGAAAGTGTCCCCCCCACCGGGAATTCCCGCAATACGTACGGACCCCAGGGCCCTCCTGTTGTGCGGCCTTTGAGGGACCAACTGGGACCTGTTCCCGCTCCCCCGTTGATGGGCTGTCCTTCACCACCGACCTCTGGGCGAATAAGCAAAGCTCCTTCACTGCGTCCACTGCCCGGCACAAGCCTCCTGACAACTCCTCTTGCGCCACCACCGATACCGTTTCTGCGGTCTCCTCCATCAACTCCATCATATCGTATTTTGCTCTGGCCACTTCCCGGATGTCCTTCAACTCTGGAAGCAAACTGGTCCCATCCCGCGATTGACGGATGAGATTCAGACTGTAAAGCCAATGCTGGGCCCCCTCCC